TGTTTGAGTGTTTGTTTTTCGTAATTAAGTTTTTGTGCTCTATGTGTGCTATGAAAATTCATCACATCCATTCTAAATAGAAGTTTGTCACATACAAATTCCTCCTTGCCCTCTATGTTTGATTGCATTTTGATTCCAAGGCCAAGAAACCAAGCTCAAGCCATGGGTGAAGGACTCTTACACACCTTAGCAAAGCTCTTTTGGTCTAAAGCAGCGCAAAGCTCATCCAACATCACCTCACCAAAAACCATGCATTCCAACACTGAACTTAACGAAGGAAATTTGATGCTGGAATACAAGTGTCCTTCTATGGTGAGGAGGATGATGATCCATCCAACCACCTAAATAATTTCTTATTTGTCTCAACCATGTGATCCATCTAGAAGTCTTTAGGGGCGCCTTTAACCTAAAGCTCTTCCCTTTCTATTTGAAAGGAATAGCACAAGATTGGCTGCAATTTCATCTACCTGGGACCTTCGAAACATTGGGTTCCCTTGAACAAGCTCTTCAAGAGGAGTTTTCTCCCGCAAGGAAAGCTGACAAGATAAGAAAACACATTGTAAGGTTCAAGCAAGCGGATGAGGCAACACTTCATGGTATTTGGACAGACTATCATGAGCCATCTTTATCTTATCCACACCATGGGGTTAGCTTGCAATAATCGAGGGAGTGCCACATGCATCCTCACCAACCAATGCCATCCAAGCTCAATCAAATTTCAAAACTGCGCTGTTGCATGAGGCCAAAGAGTTTAGCAAAGAAGGTGGCTTCCCTCCAAGCTCAACTAGCTTCATTTACCCAAGAGCACTTAAGAAGTAAAAAGCAGCTTGATGTGGCAGGCTATGCTCTAAATGACTAGCTCACTTACAAGAGAAATTACGAGGTTAATGATCGAATTAAATAAAATTGGTTTAGCTCAGCTTCATTGGGATATATGAAATTATTGGTTCCACATGTATTGTACTTAGATATTTATAAAAATTTATGATAAAAATTTAGGTCAAGTGACAGTTTAATATGATACATTCATTGCGGCTTAATTGCATTAATTGTAACTTTATTTTTACTTCTTTCTTTCTTTTAGAAATGATGTTTTCCCATAAATTCGAATCTTGAGTCCAACAACAAATGAAAAAAAAAATGACACTTTAATTCACAAATCTTTCCTTCTTTTCTTTTCTCCTTTTTTATATTGCTAGATCTCATATTTCATTCTAATTTTTTTTTTCTCCTATTCTATTTCAAGTGCGTTACATATAGGAACTTGGCCTCTATTAGTCACACAAAGTTTCTATGCAAATGCATGTTACTCTAAATTATTTTTTATTCTTCTTTTTATGAGATATGCTCGATTTGCGCTATTTTCACTTCGTAATATTATCCTCAACTAATGTAGTTTGCATACATAATGTCATTATGTTTTCTAGTAACTAATATTGCAAGTATGTGACTAACATATTTAAGATCTTATAAAGAAAATGTTTATGTTTTGTACTTTAGTGCTATATAATATTGGAGAGGGTTATTTATTAATTTCTCATTTTTCAATTTGAAATGAATATGATATTCAACAAAATTTCAAATTTGGATAGTAACTGAATTGTTTTTTCCACTTGATTTTTCATTTATGATTTTGTTCAAAATTTTTTAAATAATTATTGAATATATATATTTAGTTTCTAATAATTTTTTCGGATGAAAAAAATAGAATACAGAACTTATACATGAAATTCTCCTAGTATAATTTATGTAGAAATTAAAGTCAACATTTCTTAAAATGGATTTTGAGGTTAAATGATAAAGTAAAACAATCATGATTTGAAATTAGATTTTAAAGTCATTTCACAACATAACATCACTAATAATATCATTGTGCTTAATATCATCAAATAGAACTTAGCCTATTGGTTAAATGTGTAAGCAATAATATTTATATGGACTCATAGATAGGAAGTTCGAATCTTACTGATGATAATTGTATGCTTATTTATTTTTACCTTAGTGTAACTTAATAAATTACTAAAAAAATAAATGAGTTAAATGGTAGTAAAATTTGTGGATCATAGTAAATCTTATGTGGCAAGAAGTTGTTCTAAAACAATCATGATATAAGTGAAGGTAAAATAAAATATCTATCTATATAAAATAATGACTTTCGAAATAAACACTTCACATATACAAATTTTCTCTTCTTTCAATCTTCCACGTTAGTCTTGATTATTCATGTCACTTTTATTTACTTTTAAACTCAATACTAACTAAAAAATATTAACATATAAATAAGCGTTTTAATGATTCAAACATATATATACACTATTTAGATTATTATAGTGTAAATTTTCTAACCAATAAGACAAACTTTATTTGTTGATATTAATTGGAAAACCAATCATATAAAATCCATCAATTATGTTACTTACTATAACAAAATGGAGAATACCATATCATGCATAAAACGTTTTTAATATGTTAGTTCTAATTTTTATTCTATTTTTTTATCTTTTCATTTCATCAATAAAATTGATATTCAATCAAAATTGAGATTAATTTTGATTGGATCATATGATATAAATATAATTTTCATGATTACAAATAAATTATCTCTTCTTTCAACACTTCACAGATTAAAAATTTCTCCTTTTTCAATCTTCCACGTCAGTCTTGATTTTTCATTTCACTTTTATTTTATTCTATGTTTATACTCAAACCTACAAGGCTTAGATTATTTAGTGTAAAGTTTCTAATCAGTAATAGAAACTCTATTTTGTTGATATTAACTCCAAATCCAATAAGATAAAATATATCAATTATATTATTACTATAAAAAGAGAATACTATTTCATGCATCAATAATTTTTAATATGTTATTTCTATTTCTTTTAAATTTTTTCAATTCATCATCAAAATTGATATTGAATCAAAATTTAAATTAATTCTGAGTGAATCTTATATTATAAACATAATGGTTACGATTACAAATAAATTACATCAATCCTAATCATCAATCATCCAAATTGATATGATATATTATACACTTTCTCAAATTAGGGTTCGCCATTTAAAAACTTCTTAACTGTCCACTTTTTTTACGTCACTTTTATTATTTTAGTTTTTTTTAACTCAACAGCGTTACTAAGATCTAAACATACACCTATAAAGAGATTTATTATACTTTAAATTTTCTAACAAGTAAGACAAACTATATTTGATGATATTGACTGCAAAACTATGAAAATAAACTCTGTCAATTATATTAAGATTGGGACTATCAGGTCATTAAACGGGTTTAATATATTACTTCTAATTTTATATATATTTTTTCACTTCATCGTTAAAATCAATATTGAATCAAAATTTAGATAACTTTGGAGTGGATCTTATGATATAAACATATATTTTATAATTATAAATAGGTAACACCAATCTAAATGATCAACAAAGATAGGTTAATTATAATATTAAATGACTAATAAGTAATAATTATAAAAATAAGTGATCATCCGATGATTGAGAGCAAAGCTAGTTGTATACTACATCGAGATCACAACAAACATTGCACGCCAAATTAATATCCATAATAATAATAATAATAATAATAATAATAATAATAATAATAATAATTGAGATTTTGCTCTCCATTTATCGAAGCATCGTCTCAATTTTCTTGAATTTTCTCAAATCAACTATACATTGTCATCCAACGTTTATTAATAAGTCTAGTGCTACCTTGTGTCACCCCCTTTACACTAGACGCAATCTAACAAACGTTTGTCGATTTTCTTTTATTCTACAACAATATATTAATTAGTTACTCAAGCGAATTCCTGAACGTCACTAATTGCTCTGAAGCTTGGGAGGTTTGGATTGACGACAAGGCCGGATCGATCAGCATTAATTGGGTTGGTATATTGTTGGTCATAATAGCTTTGGAAACTATTTTGAATTAATTATTAAGTGTTTTTTAATTTTCGGATATGAAAATAAAAAGGAAAATTAATAAAAGAAATATTCGGGAGATAATCAAGACCTTCTAAACACAATTCGGAGAGCAGATACACGAGAAAGTGAGATTCATAGAGCTTTGGTTTCGCTCAACTGGAAATAAACGAAGAGTACTTGTTGTTTTCTCCCGGAGGTGTCCTGCAGATAATCTGTTGTGCGCAACGAGGCAGTACCACGAACGTCTTAAAAATAGCGATCTAATCTGTGACTGAAAAAATTGGCAACCGTAATTTTCATACTCGGTTTCTAACAATATATATCTTGGTAAGCCATACCACACTACAAAAAAAACTGTCTATGCCAAGGGTTATTTTCACTTATAGCAAGGGTTTAAACCCCAGCTACAAGACATAGCAAGAGTTATACCAACCATTGGACCAACCCTTGGCAATGCTGCCCCTGCTACATGTAGCAAGGGTTTTGAGCGATCCTTGGTGGAAGTCCCATGCAGGGGTTGTACCAAGGGTTTAAAACCCTTGCAACATTAACAAGGGTTTAAACCCTTGCTATATGTCTCTAAAATTGAAAGAGACAATTTCCACATTACTACGTATAGCAAGGGTTAAAACCCATGCTACATTTCACTTAGATAAAAACAAATTAGGGTCACTTTTTTGTTGCTAAATAACCGTCGCTAAAGAAATGGTCGCTAATATCAAACCTAATTCATTTTTCAGAACCACTTTTTGGTTACTAAAGTGACTTTTTCGTCACTAAAGTTAGAACATTCTCGTCACCAAATGTGAACCCATATGAGAGAACCGAAACATTGAGTTTTCCTAACTATTCAACACCAAATAAATAGTGAACAAAAACACTTCAATAAACTGTGGTTTTTCTTATTATATCTCTCCATAACCAGTTCAATGATCGACAATCTTAAAACAATATCACTCCATATATCATTCATATGACATTCGGAATATTCTAAACATATTCTAAACACAAGAAAACATCTAGAGTTACACCTTGATGATCTATAACTCAGCCGAGTGCATGAGAGAGCCTGATGAACACTTACACCCTGGTTGGACTAGAAATATGTCACTGCTGCTGTCACACTGATCTGCTTTCAGAAACCAATTCGGGAATGGCTGACAATTCTGCAATGGCAGATGCATTTCCACAGTCCATATTTACCCCTGAAACAAATCACCATCAGAAGGCTTTTCTTTTTCTTAAGCTTTAAAGATTATGTTAAAATGCATTGATCATGAAGCGGTCATCGTGGTTTAAATTCTGAGAGTACCTGCTTTCAGCGCAAGAGCCACTGCATCCTCTGTTGTAGCCGTGTAATTAAGAACATTATAGTAAATCTCAATAGCACTACAATCTGAAGCTAAGTATTTTAGTCTTTACCAGTAACCAGTTCTTCAAGTGATAGATTACCAGAGGTTTCAACATAAGTATCTCACCAGCAACTCCAGCCCACCAATAACCATTATGTAAGTTATGAAGAAAGTCGCCTTCATAGGAATCGAGACACCAACCGTCTTTGGTATCCTGCACAATATATTACAATGCAGTCAGTTTCATTTCTTTGAATTTTTACTATGTAAAATTCAACAGCTAAATAGTACTATGGATTCATACTCAGTTGCAGAATGGTGTATGAAATTGTCCAGTTGCTGAAATGCAGTTCCTGTGAATTGTGATTATGCTGCCAAGGAACACATTGATGAACTGGAAACCTTGGATAACAGACTTTGACTTTCCTGCACAAAAGAAGCCAGCAAGTATAAATGGTGAGGAAGAAGAATGCGACACCAATGACGAGCCTCCTGATTGCGAGTGAAACATATGATATGGCCAAGTTGTCCCAGTACACATCCCGGGGTTCTGGAGCCCATTCAATGTCAATCAGCCATTGTGTTGGATTCCAGGATTGCTGTGTTTGTGCACAAGTGGCAGCAGCCCATCTTGTTTTAAAGGAAACGAATGCAGCTGTCATTACAGCAGCCCAGTTGCTCATGACCTACTGTATTTCTGTTGAGATCTAAAGAAAAGGTTAGAGAAAGTTAGGACCATTCTGGTTGAAACCAGGAGGGTTATGGATCGTTCATGAAGTGATTCCAGATATGTGGCCTAAAGAACAATATGAAAGTTGTCTTACCTCTCCGATATTCTCTCAATCTCTGATGTGTAGTGGTCGATTGCATCCACCCTTGCCCCAAAAATGACAAGGAAACCAGTTTGTTTGATGAAAGAGGGGAAAAGCATTAGTGAAGAGAATTAAACCACTAATTATAAGAGTGCATCAAACTCTCTCTTGTATATGAAGTATGTAAACAAGATACTGTTGGAGTAATCAAGAATACCTTTATTGTGGGTTTCGTAGAAGGATTTCTTGATTACTTGATTTGGTAGTAGACAAAAGTTCAGAACCAACTCTACCACCAGTAATCCGGCTTCTAATACCAAGTGAGAGGAAAACAAAAGTCAAATTTTGCAGAAGAAACAAATGGAATCTCTTATTGATAATCAACATAGTCAAATTAACTCCTCAATCAAATCCTATATAAATCGAGCCCAAAGGAAGGAAGAACAGAATCAAGACTAGAGATCGATCAATGAAATTTCAGCACAAAAGCTACATTGGTTTGGTCCACGGTAGTACATCCAACTGTTATTTATGCACTTAATATAATAACCTGAAGGAAGGTTAGTCTCACCTTTACAGAGCATATTTATGTTGGGCATCAGAAGATTACAAGAATCGCATTGCAAACTTTTGGAGCTGCAAATTCAACAGGCAAACCAGAGGGTTCACTTCAGGAACCTAGATAGTAGGAACAGACAAAACAAGTCTTACCTAAAACATGAACACACATATCTATAACGACAACGAAAAAACCAGAACCCATAATCCAGATGAGCTGCATTCGCACTCAGATTGGTTTTTGGGGAGCCAAACAGAATCATTTTAGAAACTTGAATCGCCGAGTTAATGCAGTGTTCAAAAGCTTGCCTTGCACATATTACGCCCATAACTGAAAAATACAGCTCTGCTGCCCCTAAGAGAAAACAGAACATACAACAGTAGACAAAGCAAGAAATCATTAACGAAAATTTGATGCAAAGTTTCAAGAGGTGCCCCACTAAGTTAAAACTCATCACCAGGCTCTAGTGACTTGCTATATTCCCCATGTTCCATAAAACGGAGTATTTTCAAGTTCCCTTACCTCAAAGACAAAAGGCAAGCCTCCTGAAACAATAACAAAGTGAAAGAAACATCACCACCAACTCATTACATGCCAATATCACTGCTAATTGCCCAAAAAGCTAAACAAATAGAGAAACCTAATCAATTAGTGAAATGAGTAATCCATCAGCACCCATAACCGTAGTCAAATCAAGTTCCCCGTGATGTAAACCATGCAGCAATTGGCTCCAAATCAAATTCTCGGGAGTGTAAAATCAAGGGTTAGGGTTTTCCGCAGTTCGTCGGCGGGAAGAAGTACACAGAGGGAAGATGCGGGTACTTACATGGAGATCTCATCCCAATCATGGCTGAATCGGTTGACCACGAGCCGCTCTTCCTCACAGAAGATGGCCTGATCGACGAACCATCCCTAGTGGAAGTGCGATGACAAGTATGAAATCGAGGCAGCTTCTGCGCACTCTGCTTTCCTCTCCGATGGTTTGACATTTGGGGAACTTTGTTGGAATCGCTAACAATATGAAGGGACTTTGGTCGTGGATTTTATGGCGCGCCACCTCCATGGAGCTCGATGCCGAGAATCAATGTTGGCGGTGTGGGCTAGGGATCGAGGAGATGAAAGGAGGAACGTAAGGTATCAACATGTATGCGGGAATCTCTAGAGCTCGACGATCGCTTTTCGCCATTCCCTCTCCAAATTTTAAACAGAATAGGGGCCGAATAGAAAACCAGAAAATCGTAGAAGGGAAAGTAGGAATTTTCAATTTCGAACTGGAACAGGGGATGAGATTAAGTAAATTATGTAGCAAGGGGTTTCGAAACGTTGGCACAAACCCTTGTTACAACGAATTTCGGAAAAAATATTAGGGGTTTTGAAACCCTTGCTACGAAACCCTTGCCATAGGGTCTCTTTTTTGTAGTGCCAGCTGGTCTCTTTCGCAATACTAAGTGGGGTTTTCATAGCCTGACTACTTCCTAAGGAATGATGTATAAGATATCGCATGCATGCACGAGAAAAAACAACAACCAGAACACATTGTTCAAAGATAGACGGGGAATAAGTACGTCAGAATAAGATCTCCAGGAGCATAAAAAAACCATCCAAAAAGAGGAATGCTCAGTGAAACGTAACTAACTGAAACGTAACCATATCATGCAACACTTGCTTAGCCTATATACTCGGGTTCGATCTCACCACAAGTTTTAGTTAGTTGCGTCCACTTGTCATAAAAAAGGAAAAGATCGAGTTCGTGACGTTACGTCCGCCCATGCATATCCCTAGCACTACAACAGAAAGCCCCTATACCAAGGGTTACATAACAACGGTTGGATAAACCCTTGCTAAATTTTGCGGAACTTATTCTAGCGCCAGTTTGTTCCAAGGATTTAGAAACCCTTGCAAAGGCAGAACTCTGTTTCGCTGCCCAAACTAAAAAACATTATTCGTACAGATGAGCAGGCACAATTCTTTTTTTCTATTTTCCCTTTTATATATAAAATATTATTTTCCGTTCACATATATGTTCAATTTTCCCATTTTATTAAACGAATTCAAAACACCTCTTTTAGATTTTCCGATCTCTCTCACTCTCTCACTCCGAGCGATTCTCCGATCCCTCCCTCACTCCGAGCGGCGTGGAGATTCGCTGATACCTTCCTCACTCCGAGCGGCGTGGCGATTCTCAGATCTCTCCCTTCCTCCGACTCGATTCTCCAATGTCTATCTCGTTCTGGTTGATAAGGTTATGTCTCTCTCGTACTTTGCACTTTGTTGGGGTCTATTGCCTAATTCGAACTTGACTTGAATTCTGGAGGGCTAATTGAAACTTGAGTATATGAAGTTTTAGGCCACTTAGGGTGATTCTGGTAATGGAAACTTGAGTCTAATCATCAATTCAAGCTTTGTATGATGCAACTTGCTCTGCTTTACTACATGCAATGCGTTTGGGGAAGTGAAGTGTAAATGTTCATCATCTTGTAATAATACTAGGGATTAAAGTGGCGAAGTGATTGTATGTATAGGCTTCTCTTGTCGTGTAACCCATAACATGGTAATTGCTAGTGTTATTATAACAAGAGAATCATCATAGGAAAGATTGCAGATCAAAAGATTAGCATGTAGGTGGTCTTGTCTTATCATTCGTTGTGTAGTGTTATGGATTGGCATATGCCCCGTGGAAGAATTCCATGAAAGGAATTTTAGTCTACCGTTTCTCCTGTTGCATCATGATAATTGTTCTTTAGTGCTTCTTTATGTCTTCTGTTAGTGCTTACATATGGCAGCCTTGGAAAGCAAGCTTCCATATGTTAGTGCTTCCATAGGTTTCTCCTTTCTCTTGTCATCTATAAAACAACTGGTGAATTGCTGGGTCATTGGTTAAAGTGGCATGCTATTAGTTTGGATGGTGAATTTGGTTTCTTAGCGGTGGTCAGCTCGGTATCTTTGATTCCATAATGAATCAAGCTAACTTAGTTACTCGATGTTTCTTACTTCAATGAAACCATCTGTGGTTCTAAGTAGTTTGCCATTGGCATAGTATTTTATCTCACTTGTGTTTTCTTGTTCAGCTAAGCTCAAGAGCCGGACCATACGAATACGATATCTATGAGAATGAACTGATATTTGATATGATATTTAGCTATACCATAATCATCTGTGCTCTCTAGCCTCTTGTCGTAAAATTTTATTTTTGCTTACTTAATCATCTCAACCATGCTAAGAGGTTCTTTTCTTTTGCATTTTTTTTTCTCTCACAAACACAAAGTTTAATTTGAAATGCAGGACAAATATTCAGTCCAGAAACAAATTTAGTTCATAAAAGTGAAAAAGGAAAAGCATAAATTAGAGAAACTTGGTTGAGTGTCATTTCCAGAATGGATTGCATCCATGATTCTGCTATGTTTATATGCTAACAGGGTCCTGAAATCTTGATTTCTCTGTAACTGTTTTTCTCTCACACTGGCAGAGTGAGTCTGTAGAGTTTGGAAATCATTACTAGTTGATTGTATCATCAAATTGTCTCGTTTTTAGCAAATTAATTGGTGGGGTAGACTTTAAAAAACTTGTCTCTTCTTGATATGTTTCCAGATCACTGTATCTTATACTAGCAAGTGGAAGAGTACTGGAGAAGTTTTGAAATCGAACATTGATGGGCCTCCACTGAAGTTTGTGCTCAGTAATAGATTGATCTTATGCTCGCTTAATGAATATGGCAGATTTTTATCGGTGATAATGTTCTTATGGAGAGCTATGTTGTTTTAAAATTGCAAGCTATGGTTCACTAATTTTATGGTTTCTGCAGCGTGTCACTGATGCAGACCTAATACATTTAGTCTCGTATAAAGTGTTCCAACCAGAAAATGTTTGGAAACTTCATGACTTGCAGGTAAACTTTATTCTCTCTCCCTTGATGTGTATGTGAACTCAGTATAATTTGTATGGATGAAATGAACTTGTTACTACACAGGTCCCTTGTGGAACACTTGGCCTATCCACTGCCACTGTCAAACTTACTGATGCTGATGGGGAGGAGCATATCGTCTGTGTTGTAGGAATTGGTCCACTCGATTTCGCATACAAAGCAGTTGATCTCGTCATAAAGGTTTGGATTCAAATCTTACTCATAATATTTTTCCACTCAGAACTATTTACTAGAGGAATGGTATAGGAAGCAGAGAAGCATAGACCGATTAGTAGGGATTGGCCAAATCGACCCAATATTTTGCTCAAATTTTGGGTTGTTGAGCTTTCACTAGACTGTGATTCTGATCTTCCTAAAAGCCTTGACATGATCACCATATTGATTCCCTGTAAATAACATATGCTTAAGGAAATCGAGCAGTGTCGATCCTCTAGCCTATTAGTTTTCTCTGTAAACTAATTCCCTGTATACAACAGGATGTTAGCTAGCTGCAACATAGGTATTTCAAGATTTGCACATCATTTGTGGTTTTGTTGCCTGTTGGGGTACTTTATTCTTGTTACTGGCATACTCCTATCTAAAATGACATCTTTCAATGGTCTGCAGCAAAAAGTGCTCTATGGTCCTGTAGCAATCAAGGGCTACCCTGGTGCTCATGAGTTCCTCCTTCTGGATAAAGGTCTGCTTTGTAGGCTTCCTTCTCAATGATTTAGTACAAATTATTTCTTCTTTACTTCTAACCCTAACCTAATCACTCAACTCATTATTCTACTGCATAATTTGCAGATTGCGATAACAAAGAATTAATCAAGAGAACTACTCAAGGTGATAAGGCTGGATAACCTATTTCCCCATTGGCCATGACTGTAAGTTGAAAGAATAGATGTGTGTGGTTCTGTTTGCTTCTTTATTTGATAATGTACTCTGCAGAATCTAAATACAGATGAGCATGGCTACCTGCTATATTGATGCATTGTAATTTGCTCAATGTTGGTTCATACTCAGTGTTATTAGTGCTGCTGCTCGTCTAATTTGTCATAACTGTTACTCTTACTAATTCTTTTCTTTTATGAACAGGGTGCTACTAGTGCTGCTGCTCGTCTTTGGGTTCTCAAGCTTCTTGATACGATGTCGTCGTGAATATCTTGTATATAGAATTTTGGATCGTGTTCTACTCATGTAGTTTTTAAGTTCTTAGAATAATATGAACATACCATCCTTCTTTGGATTATGTTTGAAAATTTTGGATCATGAATCATATGATGTTTATGGTATGAACGATGGAGTGTTGATGGGTAATATTGCATGAAATGAATTTGGTTAATATTAAAAATTTTGGTATTTGGTTAAGGGTTTCTCTATAGTGACTAAAGCATTTGCAACCAAGCTTAGCCTCCAGTTTTGGTGATCTTTTGTCTTTAGCAACGACTATTTAACCACGCTTTTTAGTTGTTGCAAATTGTTTGTTCTGCTTTAATCACAAATTATGCAAGACCTGTAGCAAGGGTTTAGCCATTTGCTAGTTTTTGCAACATATTTATCCAAGGGTTCTAACCCATGCTATTTACATCTCTCTACTAAATTGTACACAAACTTTTAGCAAGGGTTTTAACCTTTGCTACTTGTACCAAGGGTTCAAACCCTTGATACAACCCTTGGATGGGACTTGCACCTAGGGTTGGTATAAACCCTTGCTATGGTGTAGCAGGGGTGGCTTTGGCAGGGCTTGGTACAAGGGTTGACAAACCCTTGCTAAACCTCATAGCAAGGGTTAAAACCCTTGGTATAGGTGAAAATAACCCTTGTCATAGACCTTCTTTTTTGTAGTGTAGATAGCTTGGTTACTAGTACAACACTACAATTGGTTGTCATATCTTCTTTATGTCACAACTTCGTTCTAAGACCAGGTAAATTATATATTAAGATCGAATCGGTTACGCTATGTCGATCTTCTTATATATGATTCCATCATGCAACGATATCATATCTCCATCGATCGTTGTGCGATTAGGACACATGAGTGGTGTAGAGAGATAAGACCAGGTACGTACATGTATGAACTTTGCTAAGCCATAGGCTTAATATAGTGATGAAGTTGGGGTTTGTGCTAGTACGTTATGTGTTTAATTTGTTAATTATAATGTGGGTTTACGTTTGGGTTATTAGTTAGTAAGTGGGTTACTAGTACATAGGATAGGTAAGTGCATGGACCAAAGTGTGGTACATAGGTTAGTAAGTTTGGGCTAAGTAGGAGTCTGTTGGGGTGTTGTCCGAGTTGGCTATGGTAGTTAGTAGGGTTTGGGGGCGATTCGAGTTACATATTTGGTTTTTAACATCTATATATTGTAATACGACATTAGTCCGAGACATCCAAATCAATAAACAAAACAAGCTTTTGACACTTATGTCGTGTTCTCACTTATGAGTTGGAAGCAAATTAAATTCTTGAACCGTGAGTTACGGTTCATCACGTAGTTAAGATAACCTTTGTTTGATGAGAGTTGTTATTATCGATAGGGCATTAGTTGGCGTAAGAGGTATAAGTTACGTCTGTTAGGAAATTGTATATGATCCATTATTAAAACTCTCTCAACACTCGAGTTATTGGGAATTTGGGATCAACTGACAATGTCTACTTGTACATGTACATAAGGATTTCGTAACAATTTAATCGGTTATTGAACACAAGGTTAATAGCCATTAAATAAAAGGACACTCCATTACGTAAAAGTTTCCGTAATAAGATTTTACAACTACTACATAAGTTAAAGTATACATTATGTACGTAACGTGAAAGCAAGGTATTTTATATAATGCGACCTGCAAAAACCTACTAAATAAAAACAATCAAAGTTATGTACGTAACGTGAAAGCATGGTAGGAATTTCATACTATTATAAATAGGGCTAGAACGAAGGTTTTCATTTCTCGCAACCCCACAACCAAACAAACTATCCTCATCTTTGATATATCATGCTCCTCCATCTCCAAAAGTCAATTAGCCACACACCAGCAACCATAATGTTGAGGGTTATCATGATCATCAGTTGCGCAATCCTGTTGTTGTCGCTGCTGCCAGCCCCGGCGGAGTCCACCAATAACCAATTCAACGACCGCGGCGGCAGTAGTGCTGAATCTTCTTCCTCCGATGCTGTTTACATAGTGTATATGGGTGCAGCAAACCCTGTCAACTTTGCTGCCAAGGAAACGGTCCTCAACTCTCTCCTTCAAAGGTGACAACGAACGCAGTTATTAAATTAATCATCTCTCTTTCTTAATCATTCGGTGTTTATATGTGTCTTTTGCGTGTGTTTATAGTATGTATGTATGTATGTATTTAATTCTGAGTCGTTTGAGTTTTTGGCAGCGGTGGGAGGCGGGAGACGGACGTTTTGAGGAGTTACAGTCATGGGCTATCGGGCTTCGCGGCCCGTCTCTCGCCGGCGGAGGCCCAGTCCATAGCAGCCCAACCAGGAGTAGTCTCGGTGTTCCCCGGTTCCAACTTGAAACTCCACACCACAAGATCCTGGGACTTCCTCCAAGAGTTGCAGAGTGAATCCGACGCCGTTCCGCCGCCGAGCAGCTGCCGCAGCAAGAAACAACCCGACAGCAGCAACATTGTAATCGGAATCTTCGACTCCGGGATATGGCCCGAGTCCGAGAGCTTCCGACTGCAAGGCACCAATCACAGCTTCCCACGTGGATGGAATGGTACCTGCATGACCGGAAGAAACTTCAACACCACAGCCTGCAATGGGTACGTAAGTAATTAATTAATTACCCCACTGTCACTATTTTCTTCATCATTTTTATTTAATTTGTTGCAACAGGAAAATCATTGGTGCCAGGTACTACACAAACATCAGCGACACCCCAAGAGACTTAGACGGCCACGGGACCCACGTGGCGTCGACGGCGGCGGGAGTGGCCGTGAGAAAGGCTTCCTACTACGACGGACTTGCAGCCGGCACCGCCCGGGGAGGCTCCGAGTCCGCGAGGATTGCAGTGTACAAAGTGTGCCAGCACGGAGATTGCCCGGACTGGCTTCTTCTCGGCGCGTTCGATGACGCAATCGCCGACGGCGTCCACGTCATTTCCCTCTCGCTCGGCTCTGACAATTCCGGAGACTTTCTCAGAGACCCGCAGGCCCTCGGCGCCTTCCACGCCGTCGAGCACGGGATCACCGTCGTTTGTGCCGGTGGAAACAGCGGGCCCCGCCCCTCCACGATTTCCAACGATGCGCCGTGGATCATAACGGTGGGCGCTTCCACGGTGGACAGGGCTTTCGAATCCAACATCCTCCTGGGCGGAGGCCAAGTTGTGAAGGTATATTTTTTTTTCTCTTCGTCTAAGAAAATTTATGTTATATATTTTTTTAATAAATGTAATTAAATTGACCAGACAGACAGATAATAAATTAAACTCTATTTCTTTCTATAAACAGGGGGAATGGATAGGGGTAGACGGTCTGATCAGTCGATCGCCGATCTACCCGCTGATAGATGGCCGATCAGCAAAGAAAGGCAATGTCTCCTTCGCTGCGGCAAGGTACGTGGTCTTAGGTGTTCAATTCCCTGACATTTTTCTGATGGACCAACTATACCATTATTTATGCCTCGTTTATTCTATTCTATTTACAGAAGTTGCGAACCCAATTCCCTGAGCAAAGAGAAAAGGGAAGGCAAAATTGTGATCTGTGACGTTAAAGACAGCGGTCTTGAGCCCGAGTACGAGGACCAACTGCGAGAGGTGTTGTTGAAGGGCGGTTTAGGCCACAACACCGGGTAGCTTTGATATAGGCCACAAGCTGTGCTGCTTCCCTAGAACCGACCGCAGTAATGGGTACGTCCCATATACTTTCAGCCACCCTCTTGGACAAACTGAAAGTTTGATTAATTACTTCAACTTAATTACAAATGACACGTTAATTCAACCAATACAATGAAGGAAACCTTTGGCAACCATCCTGCCGACGGTAGTTGTGGGGAACTATACGCCGGCGCCAGAAGTTGCATTCTTCTCCTCCAGGGGGCCTTCTAACAACTCGGCCCACATTATCAAGGCAAATACGATCAGACTGTCGTCCAATTGATTGTTTGTACATACCAGCTATATCGACTGATCATGATTGGTATTAATTTATTTGGTTATTATAATCGATCACTTGCTTGGCAGCCTGACATCACTGCACCTGGAGTCAACATCCTTGCCGCTTGGACAGGTGACGACGACCTCGATAAGCCAAAAGGAAGGCCTCAGTCATGTTTGGATTTTTAGTGGTGTGAATGGAAATAAAAGGGGAAAGTTTCAAGAGAGTCTCTTGAAGTACCATGTTGGTAAGATGTGAGAAGGCATGGCCTCGAATTCGATCGATTTGATGTAATATGTGGTTAATTGGTTAAATTGGTTTGTGTAACCAAATGAACCAAACCGAGTTGAACCAAATCGAACCGAACCGATGTGGCAGTTGGAATAACCAAACCGGTCCAACTTCCATGAGGCCGAACCAATGCAATGGTTGAAATATTTTAAACGAACCAATGCAATGGTTGGGGTGTAACCACCCATATGAAGAGTTGCCTCCCTTCAATGCATCCCTTCATTTTCTATAAATAGCACCATACCCCCTCTTGTTTTAACAACGAGTTTTACATGGATTTTTCCCGATACTGAAACTCTGCCAAAATCCAAAACTAGTTTTTTTCTGCATTCCTTTTGAAAGAGAAAATAGAGTCAAGTGTGGTTCTCGCCGTTTCGCTGCGTTCGATGGTGTTTCCGGGGTTTGAGGTACCGCTACGCCGGAAAAGGTACGTCCTTTCTATCCTGGGAGGAATCATTCCACAACCTTGGGTACTTGAGGGGAATAAGATTCTTTAAGGAGAGATAGTGAATTCTATCGGCTAGGACGCTTGCATGTGTCTTTGCATGTTTTTCTTAATCTTATGTGTTTGCTTGTGTCGCATGAAAATAGTATACGTGAACAATTTCCCCAACAATCTTAAAGAATCTTAATTTTAGTGATTATTCCCGTATACTGTTTGGTTAATTTGAGAGCACCTTCGTTTTCTGTACTTGCAACTTTTTCTTTCGATGGTTCTCTGTTCGTGTAACTGCAATTAGTGAAATTGGTACACGAGTCATTGAGGGTTGCCATCATGGTAATTAATTCCCATGCATGCGAAAGTAAAATTGCAATGGAAGAAACAAAATTTCGGTTCCAGTAGGGAAAAGTATAACCATATATACATGCATATTTCTCTTATCCCTGTTTGTATATGTGGCTCTGTTAGACAAAATTGCAGTATGGATATATATTGCATTCAATTGTTGATTTCCGGTTACTTATGGATTGATGGATTTGGTAACTTTCTGTTCCTTGATAAACTGTATTACCAATTTGTTATCAATTTGTTGATTTGGTTCTCTGTATAAGATCGTATAAGATGAATATGTATCTATATGCCATGACATGCCATGCAATTGATGGTGGTAGTGCACTGGAAATAGCTATTCATGTGTTGCATGAAAAAAAAAATGTCATTTGACAGTTGCATGGAGGGAACATATGTAGGGAGGGACACGTCTCCTTCCTTTGTTATTTTGATCCATGAATAAAGTTTCAGTCGGATAAGTTCCATGCATGAAGGAGCATGCAACCGCCAGTTGGTTCCCAAAAGCAGTAAAGTCCTCCGATAGTCATTGCGGAATCGGACTGTATGGCGGAAAAGAAAATGGTTGGTAGCACCTCCGGAGTATGGAGTCCAACTCACGAGGATGATGACGATGACGTCATAGAGGTCATCAATATCGAATCAGATCCGGAGATTATTGATCTCTCTACTCCCGAAATGGAGTTTGACAATGAAGAGTGGTTCGATTTTTATGATGCTAGCGGGGATTTGCTATATAATGACATTGGTGGAGAGCATCCAACCAATTATTGGACTCTAGATGGAATACCCATCTATGATTGGTACTCAATGGGTCCTAATGTGGATGATTTGGGCACCCATATGGACTCGATGGAGAGTATGGGGGAAGAAGAGGAATTTGAGGAATCGGAGAACGAGGAGGAGTACTCCGACATAGAGACCGATGAATGTCTCTCTGATCCTGACTTCGACCCCAAGAATCCTTAGGATTCTTGTATATGTATTGTAATCTCCTTTGAGGAGTAGACATATGTATGTGTGTATATATACATATGGTATCAATATGTGTGTGCCTATGTAAGTCGTGTATTTACATGATGAATAAAGGACAAATGTTCTTATCTCTCAAGTGGAAAATTAGTTGGATAAAACCTTACAAGTTTGTTTGGTTCCAAAATTAACCACAAAGTTTTAATGCTTTTATTGCATTGGTCCATTTCATTTTTGTGGCATGGATGAATGATAAATGTGCCAATTTAATTTGGACTTCATTCAAGGTGATGCATGAGATGATGGAAGTACTTATTATAATCCTTCATGGACTCTAAGTAACGGTGGTTTGGATAGTAATAAACTATCTAGTGGAAGAATATGAACAATCATAGGTGTGTAAAACCTAAGCCCAAATGGTTACAAACGTAATGTTCATAGTATGTTGGACATAGTTTGAAAGAGTGTACCTCCAATGTGTTGGAGATGAAATTTGGTTAATGCACGTTTAAAGGTTTGCATTACGAGAAAGCTACAAGCGATAAGGAACTCTAGTTCCTGTGATAGTTGTGAAGACATGATAATTTATTTATCGTGTATGTGGTTTAGGACTTGATGTTTCCTATGCCATGAGGGCAAGGAAAATGAAGCTATGATTGATCCTTATAGGGATTTAGTAAGCTTGCCAAATGATGATTGTCATCAAGATAAGCATTAGGTCAGAATTGTTTATGACCTATGTGAAGCTCATTGACAGAATTGTTTATGGTATATATAGATATATATCATTGGAAAACAATTTGGCATGAGAGCTCAATTGAGATGATCTTATTGAACTTAAAGTCTGGATTACTTATGGTATATTTATGAAGTTTATACCATTGGAAAGTAATTAGATAATTGAATTAGAAATCCGTTTGAATTACTTGTGGTATCTCATGTTACATATATGAAATGTCATTGGAAAGTAATTAGATGAGATTTCCATTACTGGAATGCATCTGAATTACTTATGACGTCTCAAGTTGCCTTGATCAATACCATTGGTAAGTAATTGGATGATTTTTCTAATAAAATCTGAATTGTTTGTGGTATGCTAATCGAGTGAGATCATACCATTGGTAAACAATTAGATACATATAGTGGTTGGCAAGTTCAATAAGTAAAACCATGGAAAATAAATGGGATTATTCCATGATGTTTGGCAAAGGGTAGAATTGTGGGGGAGAAGAGCTAGCCATTGTTTCGGCTACTATCTCAAGACCCTACAATGGGACGCAACCTAATCATAAGACAAAAGTGGAAAGGTAAGCAAAGTCATACTTGAAAGTATGAAGGTATCTAATGAGAAAGTGAGAGTCCTTAAACCTTGTGGAGTTAACCCAGTCCAGGGGTATAACTTATGAGTAAACTCTAGCATATATTGACGTTATGTCAGAGAGCTAGAATATTTATTGATGTTGATCCACTCTTCCCAAAGAGATGATTTTGACCTTATACATGAATGTATATGAACAACATTCCCCAAACCGGAAACGTTGGTTTCAACAACTATGGCGAAATAGTTGAAATGTGGGGGATAAATTGGGGAGAAGTAATGTGGAATGTCGCTTGGGTGATTTTAAAGTGAAAGTGATACTTAGAAGTTTTGCGTAAACCCTAAGCTAAGTCATAAATGTCACTACATTTAAAGAGATACTTGTGAAGCTCAAGTAAGGTTAATGAAGTGGAGAGACTTCAATAACGTTGGCATGTGTTATGATTATTGCAAGGCAATAAAATCAAGTCAAGATCACAAGATGTGTAGTGAATCGAAAAGAGACGAGTCTTTGGTGAATTTTACCCAAAGGAACTCACTGGGTGAACCAAAAGCCATAGTCCATTAATGGATAGGCATTTATGGTTAACGAGGAGCAGTATCTTGGAAAACGTCCAAGTTAAACTCTAAGACCGGTGAAGTTGAGTAGTTTGGCCCGCAGAGACTGGCGTTAATAAAACGCACTTGTGCACAAAGGTGTTATTGCAAGGGCTAGGAGTGTTATGTGATAAATCTCGTCAAAGATAATGGAAACGTGACACTATGGATTGATTAATTTCTAGCAAAGTTATTTGGATTGATCATCTTAGATCAAGTGATAACAAACATTAGGCCTACCTAGAAGTTAACGATAGCATCGAAGGGAATGGACTCGTGGCCTAGGACAAATCATCATGGCGGTAACTCTACCTAAGCAGGATTGGCAGACCCAACCTCTAGGTTCAAGGAGAAACAAAGTTGTGATTGATGGTCCGACATTGTCAAATTATTCAAAGTCCATTCTCATGATGAGACAATGTCCAACTATAAGGGTAAACCTAAAGATGGAAGGTTTTTAATGGTTTCTAAGTTTGACACAGGATGTGATCAAATAGTGTATTTTCGGAATACACGTTTAGAAATCACCTATGTGAGTGTGAAGTGGAGCCGCTTCAAGGAGAATAAAAGAAGGCCAATTCTCTACACACTCATGAAACCAGGCGGTGTTCATGGCTGAAACGAACACAACAATGAGAACCAGTGAACGGATAAGAGTTAGGTGTGTGACATATGTTGTCTTAGTATACAAGCAAAACCGACGGTTCAAAGATATCACATCTACCGATTGGTGAGTATACTCAATATATGTTCACTAAGGAAGGTTCAAAGGGAAACCTACCTATTCCGATGCAACTAATTCTTAGTCGAGAATCACACGATTTTTTGCATAGTTTTTAAAAGTACAACATTCTCCATTCATGTGGGGGATTGTTTGGATTTTTAGTGGTGTGAATGGAAATAAAAGGGGAAAGTTTCAAGAGAGTCTCTTGAAGTACCATGTTGGTAAGATGTGAGAAGGCATGGCCTCGAATTCGATCGATTTGATGTAATATGTGGTTAATTGGTTAAATTGGTTTGTGTAACCAAATGAACCAAACCGAGTTGAACCAAATCGAACCGAACCGATGTGGCGGTTGGAATAACCAAACCGGTCCAACTTCCATGAGGCCGAACCAATGCAATGGTTGAAATATTTTAAACGAACCAATGCAATGGTTGGGGTGTAACCACCCATATGAAGAGTTGCCTCCCTTCAATGCATCCCTTCATTTTCTATAAATAGCACCATACCCCCTCTTGTTTTAACAACGAGTTTTACATGGATTTTTCCCGATACTGAAACTCTGCCAAAATCCAAAACTAGTTTTTTCTGCATTCCTTTTGAAAGAGAAATTAGAGTCAAGTGTGGTTCTCGCCGTTTCGCTGCGTTCGATGGTGTTTCCGGGGTTTGAGGTACCGCTACGCCGGAAAAGGTACGTCCTTTCTATCCTGGGAGGAATCATTCCACAACCTTGGGTACTTGAGGGGAATAAGATTCTTTAAGGAGAGATAGTGAATTCTATCGGCTAGGACGCTTGCATGTGTCTTTGCATGTTTTTCTTAATCTTATGTGTTTGCTTGTGTCGCATGAAAATAGTATACGTGAACAATTTCCCCAACAAGTCAAGCTTCTACCTCGCCTCTGGAACTTCCATGTCGTGCCCTCACGTTTCAGGGGTTGCCGCCGACATCAAGGCTCTCAACCCATCTTTCACCCCATCTGCCATTAAATCCGCAATAATTACCACAGGTACGTACGTAAAACAAAACAACATGTATATACATTCATTCATTCTAAGAAAATAAACAACAACAAATGTGGTTATTGATGTTGTTGCTGTTAATTTATCTATAGCTTTTTCAAAGAACAATCTGGGCTCTCGTATTACAACTCACACCGGAGAAGAGGCAAGCCCATATGATGTGGGAGCAGGGGAGCTGAATCCAATGGGATCGCTCAACCCAGGGCTCGTCTACGAGACCGACGTGACTCACCACTTGTTGTTCATGTGTTATTACGGCTACGACACCAACACCGTGAGGTGGATATCCAAAGTTGCTCGCTCCTCAAACTTTTATTGCTCTCAACACTCACAATCGGACCTCATCTCTAATCTCAATTTCCCATCAATCTCGGTCGGACTGACGGGAGCCAATCGAACCAGAACCGTTCCGAGGGTCTTGACAAATGTCGCCGGAAATGGAAATTGGACATACAAGGCCGTGCTCGAATTTGGAGGAGCTGGTCCAGTGTCGCACGTGAGGGTCAAGGTATTCCCAAGAAAGTTAACGTTCACCGAAAATGGACAAAGGCGTTCTTACAAGATCAAGTTTTCATCCAAGGAAGATTATCTTATGAACCAAGAATTTGTGTATGGTTGGATAACCTGGACCAACCCACATTTCAAGGTCCGATCACCATTTGTCGTTCGGATGAATTAGTTATTACTATTTTGTAGTTCATCGCATGCAGAAAAATATTATCACTTAGTTGGTGATCATAATATTTCAAATAAATATTGTTATTTGTAGTCTTTTGATTTCTATCTTTACTCTTCCTTTCTTTGTTATGTTTTAATGTGTGACATTTAATTTCCTGTCATTTTATTAATAGATTATTTTATTTTATTATTAATTTTATCTTAATCTGAGATATTCTAATTGTTTTTGCTAAATATGTTTATATCGAGCATGAATATTTGCAAAAAACAACATGCATGAGTATTATATATGTCACTAGATTATATGTATTGGTGATGAATAATATAAACTTATTGAAACACAAAGATATTCACATAAAAGGAATATCATATTCAAACAATATCAAAACTAATTTTTGCATAACAAAAATGTCCAAGGTACTACTAGAAATTTAGTACTATCAGTATATATGAAAGTGTAAGCCAAAAGTTCATAAGATTTGATAACTTAGTAGTTTGATAGGTCAAGTGAGACCATCCCAGATGAAGAGGCGAAAAGGACTTGATCGAGAATCTATGAGAACGTCAAATGAGAAGTCAGATAATTCTTCAAACAAAAGAGTTATCATGTCATATTTGTTCTCAAAGAGAATTAATAGAACATTTCACAATCTCTTGTAAAAGAGTAAACGTATTTCTTGAGGTTTACACTACAAGAAAATTATGGTTTTGTGTCGGTTGATTAGTGTCGGTTAATAGAACCGATACAAATTTCAGAATTCGCTTCGGTGATTTGAGTCGGTTAAGTAACCGTCACCTTTTTGTGAAGTTAAACTTATAACTGAGACAATTTCCTCCATATTGGTGTCGTTTAACATTTGTGTTGGTTTTAACCAACACAATTTTGTGCATTGAGTTGGTTTTTAACTGACGCAAAGTGACAATTTTAACTGATTTCAAGTGGTAGACACAGTCGGACTAGAAGCCCCAGTGGCACCGTGCGGCGGGTGATGGATGCGGTGGTAAAACGCCAATGAGAAGGAAGAAAGATGTGCTTGAGCGATGGTGGGTAAGTTTGAATTTGGGGTTTCGATTACTGGGGATGCCTGGGAGTGGGTGCCACCGCATTTTCTGAATTTGGTGGTTCCACCGTCGCCTTGGGAGTTAGGAGAAGAGGGGAGGAAAATAGGTTGAAGATGCACAACATCATGTGGGAAATTTTTGGACACACGAACTGGCGGCAGGCGGAAATTCTTATCGGCGGAGCTCAGGTTCGACCTATCAACGGCGAGATGGGAACTTGTTTTTTTGAAAATAAAACGACACACGAATTTACGTGGTATCCACGAAAACCGGGACTAATCCACGGAGAGGATGGCTCTCGAGAGAAACTTCACCAGTCTATGATAGAAGTGTTTTTGGCTAGGGTTCTTCAACCCAATACACGACATCACCAGCCCTTACATACCACTCTACATTCACGTGGTATATGGGCAAAGTACAAAAACATCACCATAAAATAAAAACAGCAAATACAGCCCAATACTCCCCCTCAAGGTGAAGCATGAAGCTCACAAATGCCAAGCTTGGATAAAAACGTATGGGAACTAGTGTGCACCTTACGAGGAGCGATCTCGCCAGAAGTAACACACTCATGAACAAAATAACAGTCCATCTCCACATGCTTAGTCCGCTCATGAAAGACGGGGTTAGTAGCAATATGAAGAGAAGCCTGATTGTCGTAGTAAATAGGTGTGGGAGTGCACTGGGGAACGCGCAACTCGCCGAGTAAGAAGCGAAGCCAGAGGATCTCATTGGTAGCACTAGCTATGGCGCGGTACTTTGCTTCTGCGGAAGAATAGGCTACAACCCACTGTTTCTTAGCACACCAAGAAACCGGGGCACCGTCTAACTGAATATATTAGTCAGTAATAGAGCGACGAGTAGACTGATAACCTGCCCAGTCGTCATCACAATAATTAGTGAGCTCCAAAGAACCAGCTGAAGGAAGAAGAACACCGGAGGACACAGTGAGCAGCTGCAACATGATCAGGACTAGGGGCATACTAACTGGCTGAGCACATTGATCGAGTAGGCAATATCCGACCGAGTGATGGTGAGATGAGAAGCCGCCCAATGAGACGATGATAGGAGCTGAAGCAGAGTACGAGTAAGTGTATGATTCTGCTCCATAGGAAAGCCACTAGGACGAGCCACACTCTTGTCAGCATCAGCCAAAAATCAATGGTATACTTGCGCTGACAGAGAACAATACCATCCGGCAAACGAGCAACCTCAATGTCCAAGAACTACGTGAGAGGCCCTAAATCCTTAATGCTGAAGCGATCATGCAAGAATGTCTTAACCCGAGCGACGGTATTGATGTCATCACCTGTCAGGACCACATCATCCACGTATATCAAAGCAGCAACATAAACACAAGCACCTCATACACAAAGAGGGACAGATCAGCCTGCGAGACAGTGAAACCAAAATGAACCAGTGCCTTAGTAAATTTTGCATACCAATTGCGGGACACCTGATGAAGACCATAGAGAGACTTACGGAGATGGCCAACACGGGAGTCGCCCTCTTACGCAAAGCCTGGTGGTACTTGCATATACACTTCTTCATCAAGATCTCCTTGAAGGAATGCATTGTTGACGTCTAGTTGATGAAGAGGCCAACCCTTCTGCGCAACAACCGCCAAAAGAACACGGGCAGTGACGAGCTTTCCAACAGGAGCAAAGGTGTCATGAAAATCAATACCCTCCAGGTGAGTAAACCCCTCGGCGACTAGACGAGTCTTGAAACGCTCGATAGTGCCATCGGGATGATACTTTATTTTATAAACCCATTTGTAGTCAATCAAACGCTTCCCAGGTGGAAGTGGCTCTAAGGTCCATGTTCTGTTGGCAACCAAGGCATCAATCTCCTTCTCTGGCCACACGCCATTGGCGATACCGAGCAGCTTGAGAGAAGTGGCGAGGCTCAACCAAGGAGGTCATGGCTGCCAAGAAAGCACAATGGTTAGCCGAAAAACGATGGTAGCTAACATAATTAGAGATGGAAAAATTCCACATGTTGAGAATACGTACCGGAAAGCTTGACCTCATAAGAATCGAGTCTCGCAGGGAGATGGCGATCCCGAGGCGGGGTTCGACGTGGTTGCGGGAGAGAAGTAGTCGGTACCTGAGGAAGAGACGCCGAACTGGCATGATCATCGGAGGAGAAAGCCGATGCGTCGAGGGGAGAAGTGGGAGCTATCGGAGAATAACCGAAGGTCGCAGCCGTGTCGTGAGAGGAAGTCTCAATCCCAACACAATCAGCAGCCGAGATGGGAGAGGATGTCTCAATCCCAACATCATCAACAAGTTCATCATCCGCAGAAAAGAGAGACTCCCAATTGCGAGTTGATTTTCTCTATTAGGGTCGTGAATGTTATCTTGGACACTTGATCATGGATGACCGGGACACTCCCCTCTCACTACAAGAAAAGTTATATGTAGCTATGAATCTATTCGTGGCTAAATGATCAGTTTTGCATGGCAAAAGTATATAGCCACAAAAAAACAATTTTGTAGCACGTGTGACTAAAAGTGGCGCAACTAAAGGTTAGCCATAGTGCTTTGCAGTTGCGTGGCTAATAAGCATTAATCAATATTTTAGCCATAAAAAGTATACAACATAGCTACAAGAGTAAATGATTCTTGCCACAAATGTGAAACTGATATAGCAAAACCACAAAAGTATTTAGCTACATTAAATACATTATATGGCTTTATTGAATATTTTGCCATGCATAATCCTAATCGAAACAAAACAGATTGGAATTCTTGTGATGAAGTTATTCATGGCTAATAAGATAAGATAAATTTTGATGAACTATCAATTAATTTATATCTTGCTACAAAGAAAATGGTGGCTAATTGCTCGCAAAACGAAGAGCTACTAGGGATGGGTTTCAAGCGAGTCTGACAGGTTTTAGCCACCAAGCTCGCCTATTGCGGATTGATATAAATAAAACACACCACCCACATTCTTGCTAGAGTTGCGAAAATCATAGTTGGGTCAGGTTGATATAAATGCTTGAAAGAAATTCAAAAAAGTACCAACGTAAAATTTCATTTCATAGCCAATAAAGAAAATTATTGTTGTGTACATATGAATCCATTTTCTAATCATATTAGCACAAAAATAAATGATTCAATAGACTTTCTCCATTGCATTGAACTAAGAACTGCAGGTTCAATATGGAGTGCCTCCTACTTCCAAGCTTCAACCGCAGTCAAGGAGACTGTGTCACCAGAGTTCTTCTCCACATTCTGCTTGTCATCTTTTGCCATTTTCTTTCTTGGACGACTCTGCCCCTTTAGAAATTTACCATACTTTGGAAGCTAAAACATAGAAAATGCATGCATTCACAAGTATACATAATCCAACTTATAAGAAACTGCCAAAATGAACCAATCACTTAAAACAAAATAATTAATTCGTGATCAAATTTCATTCCCCCTTCTTTCTTCCTGAGAGAAACTCTTCAAGCAATACTAGACAATGATGACTATCCAGGCCATTGGTCAATGCAACCCCCTGTTGAATAAAACGGTGTCACTCAGCCAGCTCACATTAAACGGTGCATTTCGGACCACAAATAGAAGCGATACCGTTTTATAACGAGCTCATGATCACCAACACGCCCCGTTTCGTACTATCGTCCATCAAAGTCTTTCCTTGAACTTCTCACAACGCTCCTCGCTTCCAGCCTCCACCTCCATCTTCAGAAAAGCACCTCGCGCTTCTCCAAAGGCAGCTCCTCTTCCTCCATCTCTTCTGCCTCTCTACTAGAAGATCATGATGACCAGAGGAAGATGTTGCTCTAGGATCCCTATGCATCAGGTCTATCAGTAAACAGTCACTATTCTGTATGTACTATATATTCTAGGAGTTGAACTCAATTAGGGATTCGAAGGTTATAGGATAGAATTTGGGGATATATCTTCTGTCTGTATTGGGTCCTATGTTTCTCTTCAGTAGCTCTCATCACAGTGTC